CCATATTATTACCCACAAGGGTAAAGGAACAGTACCACTGCTGGATAATTGGAAAGTCCCTGTGTCTCAACCTCTGTGCTTCGTGGCAAGATAGACTAGCAAACATGCCCAACCTTTTCTCACATTCGAGAAAACACTCCCAACAAGATTGCTTGCTCCAAAATCGAAGAGGCACCGCCCTCCGAATCTCGAGAGCCAAACTCCCAACATGATTACTTTCTAAAAAATTGAAGAGACACCGCTCTCCGAATCTCGAGAGCCAGACCCTTAGCAGGATTGCTTTCTCAAAAATCGAAAAGGCATCGTTCTCCGAATCTCGAGAGCCAGATCTCCGACAAGATTGCTTGTTCGAAAATCGAAGAGGCACCACTTTCCCAACTTCAAGAGCCGAATCTCCTTGGATAAAGCTTGTCTGTAATCTTTACACGCAACATCAGCTTTCCAAATACCACAGACCACTTTTTCAAAGTGCTCTGACAGAGTTAAAACATGTGAAGCTGGCAGCTCCCACTACCGTGTTATGACCAAGCAGGGTAAAGGAATAGCATTACTACTTGTTGTTAGGAAGACTCCTATATATGTTGACCTCCATCCCCAACAGACAGGCAGACCTGCAAAAATGCTCAACCCTTCCTCATATCTGAGAGGGCACTCCCAAAGAAGCCTTTCGAAATATTCAGCTTTCTTTCCCCCCGATAATACCTCTGCAAACAAGCTATACTAGAGTAAGAATATCTCATATCATCAGGGTTAAAAGCAAGAGTATCCCATATCATGTTTTTTTCCTTGTCTTTTCCTTTGGCCTTGTTCTTACTTGCAAGACAAGGAGAAAGAGAGCAATCAGTCAGCACTTGGAATTAAGCTTCCAGTCAGGAACTGACTGCCTGGAGCCCCTTACTTGATTACTTACCAGGCATTACTCTCGAGTACTCATCTTCAACATCTTATGCTTCCAGGGAAGATACCGCATCTGCCTGAGGAACAGATAGGGCAAGTGAGAAGGATACAAGGAAGCATGTGGAGACAAGCGTAACAGTACACGTGCCGATACATCCACTACTCTGTTAAAAGCAAAAGTATCACATATCAGCAGGGTCGAACGTACTATAGATTTGATGGACTTGTTTTGACCCTCAAATTCTTCAGTCGGCCTTATACTCTGGAGGAAACCAGAAAACCCTCCAGCCCAGTTCAAGAATAAGCCCGTGGAAAGTTACTTCTTCAAAAGCAAAAGTATCCCATATCATCTCTTCTCATTTTTCTTCTCTTTATCCTTCATGCTGCCTGCAAGATAAGGAGAATGTGAACAATCAGCCGGAACTCGAAATCAAAGTTCTGATCTGGGACTGATTGCTTGGAGCTCTGATTGCTTACCTTGTCTGTCACCTCTTTCAGCAGATCCCCTAGCCCGGCGACTTGGAGGACTCCTACTACATGGTTTGTATCGCGCTTGACCAAGCCTGAAACTACAAGTAAGCTTCAAGTGAAATTCATACATTACCTTGTGCATCTCCACCAGTTAAAGATACCACCCCTGGATGGAGGAAGAGTACTTCCAGAGAAGATGCCACATCTACCTACGAGACATATAAGGCAAGACGATACCACACTCCGGAACTTAGAAGTTTCGTGATTACGAGATCATTCTCCCACAACATTTCATAATGTCATTTGTACTAAATCATTCACTTGTACTCACTAAAAGAGAGCTTGAACCTATGTACTTGTGTAAACCCTTCACAATTAATGAGAACTCCTCTATTTCGTGGACGTAGCCAATATGGGTGAACCATGTACATCTGGTGTTTGCTTTCCTATCTCTATCCATTTATATACTTATCCACACTAATGACCGGAGCAATCTAGCGAAGATCACAAAAAGCGACCGTTTTCGCTACCTAGGATCTATCTTGCAAGAGAACGGAGAATTAGATGGAGATCTCAACCATAGAATACAAGCTGGATGGATGAAGTGTAAGAGTGCATCCGGTGTGTTGTGTGACCGTCGTAGGTCACTGAAGCTCAAGGGAAAATTTTATAGGACGGCAATAAGGCCAGCGATGTTGTATGGCACAGAATGTTGGGCGGTGAAGCATCAACACGTACACAAAATGGGTGTAGCGGAGATAAGGATGCTTCGTGGGATGTGTGGGCACACAAGAAAGGATAAGATTGTGAATGAGGATATCCGAGGTAAAGTAGGAGTAGCCGAAGTTGAAGGAAAGATGAGAGAAAATCGGTTACGGTGGTTTGGACATGTGCAAAGAAGGCCTACTGACGCTCCGGTTCAAAGATGTGACTACGGAACAGAGGTTCGGGGCTGAAGGGGTAGAGGAAGACCTAGGAAAACTTTGGCAGAGACCCTAAGAAAAGACTTAGAGTACTTGGATCTAACGGAGGACATGACACAAAACCGAGCGCAATGGCGTTCTAGGATTCATATAGCCGACCCCACTTAGTGAGAAAAGGCTTTGTTGTTGTTGTTGTTGTTGTTGTAGACTACCAGGCAATATAATATATGATTGAGATTCACATATAATTATTTACTATAATATTCGTATTGCTTATGTAGTATATATGTATGTATGATTCATGGTAACTAAAATAGATACACCTACAAAAATGAAGTTGTCCCTCGTAACCAGTCATCCATAATATCAAATAAATCATTTTCATCTTTTGTAAATTTACCAAGGGCTATAGTCATAGTGATCCTCCTATTCAACTACTTCAACCATTTTCGAACACCTCAAAGCATTTTCTAAACGTTCGAGGCTTCTATCATTTCTGTATGATTTTGGATTGAGTTTATAATTTCTTTTCTTATCTTTGCAACCAGACATAGTTTATTGGTAGGATTAAATAGTGACCGCTGGTATGCCCCGTGTTTATGTTGTATTGCACTGAAAAAGTTTGAAAATTTATGCTTATGCAAGAAAAGGGTTTTTATTATAAATGGTTCCTGAAATTGACTTTCACCATCAAGATAATCCTTGCAATTGAAAATCAATCAATGTAGTCCCTGAAAATAAGTGCTGCAAATCAATGTGATCATTCCGTCATAATTCAGTTCAAAATTTCATTAAGTGCTGATGTGGCATATAAATGGGCCCAACAAAATTTACAGATTTTTAACACAAATGATTCCTGAAATTGATCCAGACCATCAAGATGGTCGTTGAAATTGAAAATCGACTAAGGTAGTTTTTGAAAATAAGTGTCTCAAATCAATATGATCATTCTGTCACAATTTTGTAAAAAAAAAATTGTTATGTGTTGATGTGGGTTTAATAATTAATTTAAAAGTTGTCTAAATACCTTTTTGCACAATGGAATTTTTTTTTCTTATAGTAGGGCTTACTTCGAAGAAATATCTCTTTCATGAATTATCAAAGGCACAGGGCTTAACCAAGGTCTAAAGAAGGGGTTGAAAATAGTTTCCAACCAACAATAGACGCACTTCGGTCATAACCTCATTATCTCAAGGCATACCTTGATGTTCTTTGCTTCACCAGACCATTAGGGAAGCGCCAAACAAGCTCTCCAAGATTAAGTTCTGAGGATGTTGATTGCCTAAATGTTAACGGTGATGTCCCAGAAGTCGTTGCCAATCGGCTAAGCCGTCATCAAAGCTAATCTCGATCCAGGTTCAGTTCAATGAAACGTGTCGAAGTGTGTAAAGATGGGTATATTGAGATTTTTTTATTTAGAGAATAGACATCGGAGGAGGTAGAGGAATGTGAACTCAAAGGTGATTGCAGAACTGGGTTTTGGGTTGGCAACTTTTTTATTAACTATTAAATTATTAAACCTATTTGTAATTTTTTTTAAATTTAATTAGACTTATGTGACCCATTTATGTGTCATATCAGCCCATAACAAAAAATTTAACAAAATTGCGACGAAATGACTACATTTGGGACCATTTTGATGTCGCAGGCCAGTTTCAGTGACTATTTTGATGTCGTGGGTTAATTTCAAGGACCATTTTTGGGAAAAAAAAGACTTATGCAGCCCATTTATATACCACATCAGCACTTAACAGAATTTTTAACAGAATTGTGACGGAAGGAGCACATTGATTTGCGACACTTATTTTTAAAGACTACATTGATTGATTTTCAATTTCAAGGACCATCTTGATGATGAGAGTCAATTTCAGGATCATTTGTGATAAAAATCCGCAAGAAAAGATAAGAAATTTACCAATTGTCAGGCATTTGTGTTGCTTTTCTTTTGAACTCTAAAACTCATGTTAATTGCATTTCTAGTGGAGCTGTTAGATATGAGTTGGAAGATGCTATTCGGTTTTTATCCTTGTAATATGTATATGTCAAAGTGATCTGATGCTCAGATTTTATCCCTTATAATATGATCATTCATATTAACGTAGGTTAATTCATGGATAATAGGTGTAAGATCCCACATCGACCAACAGAAAAAGGATGATGTGCCTTATAAGCACGAGGTCTTTTGGGAACTCACTGACTTTGGATTCCATCGGAACTTCGAAGTTAAGCGAGTTCGGACAAGAGCAATCCTAGGATGGGTGACCCACTGGAAAGTTATCGCGTGAGTTTCTAGAAATAAAACCATGAGGGCGTGGTTGGGGCCCAAAGCGGACAATATCGTGCTACGGTATAGCCAATACTAGGATGTGACAGAATGGTATTAGAGCCACTCTGCCATTCGGTGCGGCTGCGCCGACGAGGACGCCAGGTTCCCCTTAAGTGGGGTGGATTGTAAGATCCCATACCGACCAATGGAGAGGGGGTGATGTGCCTTATATGTACATGCTCCCCTCCCTATAACATGAGACTTTTTGGGAACTCACTGGCTTCGGATTCTATCGGAACTTCGAAGTTAAGCGAGTTCAGGCGAGAGCAATCTTAGGATGGATGACCCACTGGGAAGTTCTCGATTGAGTTCCTAGAAACAAAACCGTGAGGGCATGGCCGAGGCCCAAAGCAGACAATATCGAGCTACGGCAGAGCCGGAACTGGAATGTGACAATAGGCATCAAAGCTGAAACCAGCTAGACTCAATGAAATTGAAACATCATGCTTGGCATAGCTAGCTATATTTCTACTGCAGAAATTCTTTATAATGACATATTACCTATTAGAAAACCGAGCAGAGCGAACATCCAATGGCCTTCAGCACTGAGTTCAAGCATTTTCTGCTTCCAACAGCTGAAAGTTGTAAGGCTTCCTATGTAACCGGCTGACAATCCAATGGCAAATAATCGGACGTATAGGATATATCTCCTTCGAAAACAACACCCAACCACCCCATCAAGAAAGAACCAACCTACAGGAATGCATTAGAAACAAAGTTTCCACTGAAACATCATCCAACATTTTCTATATTACCACCCAAGAAATATGACTTCAGAAATGAAAAGATGAAGAGAAAAACCTATGAAAACATAGGTACTACGGAACTTGATCATGTGTAGTACAAGTCCCTCCTAACATTCATGATTAACAACTTTACAGAAACATGTTTATCGATAAATCACTGCCAAATAAAGGGGACTAGTACATTTGTGCATGTGAGAGAGAGAGAGAGAGACCATATTAGAAGGAAGATCAAGGTAGACAATGGTTTGGTTGCTTGTTCATAAACAACTCCAGGACCAAAAAACTTTTGCGGCAGATATCTCGTTAAGACCATATTAAAAGGAAGATCAAGGTAGACAATGGTTTGGTTGCTTGTTCATTAACAACTCCAGGACCAAACAACTTTTGCGGCAAATATCTCGTTAAGATCTGTACAATGGTGTGTGTCAAATACTCTACTTGACAAGTAGGTTTCCTAATATGAAAGAAATATATAACATGATGTATTTTTCACAGTTAGCTTAAGAAAATTTTCACAAAGTGAGCCAAGAATTTTCGTTATTAATCAAATACGTGTTAAAATTTAAACAAATCCAAACTTGTACAGGTAAGAAGTGATGAGAAAAAGGATGTAAGAAAAAAAGATGGTTTGTAAGCTGTACTATATAATTTTATATAATCAAATTGAGAGAATTTGGATGAGTAACTAAATATATGGTGGGTTATATTAAAAAATTAATAAAAATTACATGTAAAATTTTATTTGGCTTTTTATATTAGCACCACACAAAATGTTGAATGCACCCCATATTAAAATTTAATATTAAATGATTTATTTACCCTACTATGCAAGGACAATTTTGACATTATTAGGTTTTAAAAAAAATATTCTAAATGCACCCCAAATCACTTTTAACGTATTATTTATCTTCTTCAACTATGAAAATTCCTTCGACCCTTCATTGTTGAACAAAACCCTAACCAATGAAACTACAAACATGTTGATTGAGAAAAATTATTTTTGATAAATGAAACACAAAATCGATGTTTCGAAATCTTCACATGAGGTAAGACTTCATATTCTTTATTGTTTTAGTGATTTTGACATCATTAATAATTATTTAATCTTGCTTTTGTTGCGTTATTCAAGCTTCTATGGTCGTATTCATCTTTTAGGAATCACAAGGATTACATGAAAAATTAAACACCTAAAATTACCACCAAATATTAAAAACAGACCATGGGTTTTAATTGTGCAATTGAATACAACCCACGTATGCTTTAAATCTCAAGCGACATCTTTTGTCAAAATTCCAGTCGGCATTTTTTGTCCAAATTAAAAGTTTTATAAGATTTGAGAATTGTGGGGTGTATAGAAAATATGGAGTGCATGTAGAAAATATAAGGTGTATATTGAGAATGTGAAGGTATTATGGGAAAGTATGTGGGGTGTATTAAGATAATTTTTCATTGAAAAAACAAATATGAGGTGTATTAAGTATGTGGGGTTTATTCAACAATTTGTGAAATGTTAATATAATAAGCCTTTTATTTTTCCCTGAAAACTACCTGGGCTATAGCCCAGGATAACCCTTAATGTGGCTTCGCCATTGGTTACAATGACATTCAATTTTGTCAAGAAGACAAACAGAATCCCAACCTGCAAGAGCATGATCAAAGATTTTCGAAAGGAAGTATTTTTGTTGTTCTCGAGTGTTTCACAATATAATATGGCTAGTGTTTTCTTCCACAAGCATCCGAAGATCCAAATCTTGTCAAACGAAGGCAACAACAGCTACAAACTCCATATATATTGCGATTCAAATAAAATGCACTTTGGTATACACTAAGAAGCAAAGTTAACTGTGTTACCCTGGAGACTGCCAAACACAACTAAATGAACCATGCATGAACTGTACTCCAAGAATTTTGGCAACCTTATCGTATTGTCCTGCATGTACAAACACAATAACTTAATGTTACTAGCATGATCCAACCAAGATGGGGGAAAACTCAAACATGTTTGACTTTGTTACTTTCGTGATCAATGAAAAAGCAAACCAAATCTCCTATACATGGTCAAGGATCTCTATCTCTAACGAAGATTATATACAATAAGAGGTATCAACCTAAAAGTCACTTTCTTTTTGTCCTCATGTATGATCGCATCACTGGAAATAGGAGATATGATTTCCTCAAGCAAGGGAGAAACAGGCGAAATTGTTTTGGATGCAGCAAGGTCACGACCCCAGAACCCATAGGATTGGAGCTGAATGCCCTCTCAAGGAAACAAGTGGATGCTGCCACTCTCACTGTGCCTGTTTCTGTGAGGAGCCCCGATCCCGAATATCTCCTGCCTCTGACACACATTCACTTTCATTGCCATCATCTAATTTCCTTTACTTTTTCAGTATCTCCACACGGTTTAACAATACCAACAAAAAGCCAATGCAAGGGCCTACCAACTAGATTAAATCTCAGTGCCAAACAAATCACAAAATGCTCTTTAAACCAACCTAAATCCAGCATACCTAATAATTTTTTCGATCCAATAATCAGTATTGAAACCAATTTCCATTCACTTTTATCAATTTAACATAATTTCTGTTCAAACTTACAGTATCAAACTTCGTGAATTTCAGTTCATATATAGAAGACAAATCATCACGCAACATATCTACAACTAGGATGCTAGTCTCACTGTATTCCAACCCAATCAATCATTGTTGTGTGTTTCAACTATCCCACATAACATGGCCCTATGCGACTAGCGCTTCAAAAGGCAAAACTCTCATCGTAGTGTGGTGTCCTAAGGGGCCTTTAGTCTTTTGATTAGACTAGGGGTCACGAGAGAGCAGAGTGTACCGCCTTGCTATTATCACGAGTCTTTTTATAGTCGCGACTATTGTCATAGTCATCAAGGTTGAAACTTCCAGGAAAAAAAAATTGGAATTGGGAAGGAGAACTGGCCATACCCCAAACAGACGCAGGTGAACAAGTAGAGTATATTAGGGTGCTTGAGAGAAACATGTCGAAGGAGTGCGGCGAAATGGCCCCGTAACTTCTGGAGGAGGGGTGGTCTCCTATGTTTTGATTAGGCAAGCGGCACATACTCGGGGGTAGTGACTGCTTATTAAAAACACAGGACTCTGCTATGTGGTACCACAATGTATAGTCTGACACCTGCCCGCTGCTGGAAGGTCAGAAGTAGAAGTGTTAGAAGCTTTGAATGGAAGCCCCGGTAAATGTCAATAGTATCTCTAACTGCCCCGCTGTCTCTGACATGGACCCGGTGAAATTGAATTCTCCGTGAAGATGCGGAGTACCTACGGGTAGACTGTAAGACCCTGTCCACCTTTGTCATCAACAAAATGAAATCAAAAGGCAATTATCCTTGGAGATATTTCGGCGGATCCAAAGTTCTCTATTTGAATTCCAAAGTCGGTTCAACAATATCCACTCCTAGGACGATCTGACTAGTCACTTGCATTTAGTGCACAAAGAAGTGACATTATTGTGGCTACTAACCGAGCCACGGAAAGATTTTCATCACCTTCCCATTCTAACATTGAAGAAATTGTTGGATTCAACTCAAGTTTCTGATCGTTAGTGCAACAATCGTGTCGTCCAAAAGATCCGTCTATATATTAGGTTTGTATTCATTAATGGTTAAGATATCATTGTTGTTTTTTTTCTTTTTGAAATGATATTAATTGTGACCTTTCTCATTCCTACGAAAGGCATGTTGTTGACATATTGTACCAGATGGAGGCCATAAACGTGGCTATTTGAGCAGTGCTGACATAGCTCTCATACAAGGACGAGCTGAGGTCCTGGTTAGTCCTAAGATAAGACTATTTCCTGAATATAAGCAACAATTCAAGGAGTTGATAATTGAGGTACTGGGGGCTGACACAAGTGACAAACCTGAGTTGGCGTCCTTCTACAAGTGGATTGATGAACGGTGAGTGACCTTCTAAATGCACTTTCTGTTCTTTTATTATTTTAATTGTTTTGAATCAAGTAACAATGTTCCTTCTTTTTCCTTTGTGAAGTAAAATATCATTTGAATTCCTCTGGATGCACCCCCTTATCTGGTCTCCAAAGGAGCGATTGTATATGATGGCAGAGGGTCCATTATACCTGGACAAAAGAAAGTTTTCATCGTAAGCATCATGAGGATTGGGGGATAAGTATACGGAACTTTATACAGATGTGGTATTAATTGAGGATGTAGTAAAAGGGGTTATGGGATTTGAGGACGTCTTATACTACAAAGGAGACACTTGGTTTAAGGACAAGACTGAGGATCCGAACGAGCGGTATGAGAAAAACGATCATGGGGTTTTGAAGTTTGCCAGAAATGCTGTGATACACATAAACGAACGCCTAGCGGAAACGGGTGAAAAAAGAATGGTATGCAGGTTACTTTTAACACAAAGATGCTTAGATTGTTAATTTGTTTGATATAATTGATTTTACAACCCTTGTTCTATCAAAACTTTTTGCAGGAGGAAGAAGTAGAACGAATGCTCTCTTCGATGTTCCCGAAGCATGTCACCAATTTATACAACTTTTTTTATCATTATCAGATTGGGGTGAAATTCTTATTTGAAAGGAGGTAAGACCTATTAACTGTATAAAAACTAAGAAAACCCACATCTTTTAGTCCCAAGTTCCAGCATTTGAATAAGCCACCCTTTTGTCTCCTGTCCTGAACCTTACATTTTAATCTGTTTGGAAAGTTTCTTGACCATCATTAGATGGGGTGAAATTCATGTATGTGTTTTTTGTTTGTTTTCTTTTTTTCAGAGCCTAAAAAGCATACAGACCTAATGTTGCAGGTGTCCCAAGATTAAAGAACTCCGAGACTCTTATGGATAGAAGATTCTGATTTTGTCATTAGTATTACGTTGGACATTGCGTTTCCTATATGTTATTTTGGCATTTCTTAAGAAACTTTGGTTTTCCCATATAGGAAACGCAAAGTGTCCAACATAATACTAATGACAAACATCGGAATCTTCTATCAATAAGAGTCTCAGAGTTCTTTAATCTTGGGACACCTGCAACATTGGATCTCTATGCTTTTGAGGCTCTGAAAAAAAAGAAAACAAACAAAAAACACATACATTAATTTCACCCCATCTGATGATAGTCAAGAAACTTTCCAAACAGATTAAAATGTAAAGTGAGAGAGAGACAAAAGGGTGGCTTATCCAAAGGCTGGAACTTGGGACTAAAACATGTGGGTTTTCTTTCTTAGTTTTTATGCAGTTAATAAGTCTTACCTCATTTCAAATAAGAATTTCACCCCAATATGATAATGAGCAAGAAAGTTGTATAAATTGGTGACATGCTTTAGGAACATCGAAGAGGGCATTCGTTCCACTTCTTCTTCCTCATGCAAAAAGTTTTGATAGAACCAAGGGTTGTAAAACCAATTATATCAAACAAATTAACAATCTAAGCATCTTTAAGTAACCTGCATACCATTTTTTTTCACCCGCTTCCGCTAGGCATTTGTTTGTGTATGACAGCATTTCTGGCAAACTTCAAAACCCCAAGATCGTTTTTCTCGTACCGCTCGTTCAGATCCTCACTCGTCCTTAAACCAAGTGTCTCCTTCATGGTAGAAGACGTCCTCAAATCCCATAACCCCTTTTACTACATCCTCGATTAATACCACATCTGTATAAAGTTCCTATACATATCCCCAGCCCTCATCATGCTTACGATGAAAACTTTTGTCCAGATATAATGGACCCTCCGCCATCATATACAATCGCTCCTTTGGAGACTGGATAAGGGGGTGCATGCAGAGTATTCAAATGATATTTTACTTCACAAAGGAAAAAGAAGGAACATTGTTACTTGATTCAAAACAATTAAAATAATAAAATAACAGAAAGTGCATTTAGAAGGTCACTCACCGTTCATCAATCCACTTGTAGAAAGACGCTAACTCAGGTTTGTCACTTGTGTCAGCCCCCAGTACCTCAATTATCAACTCTTTGAATTGTTGCTTATATTCAGGGAATGGTCCTATCTTAGGACTAACCAGGACCGCAACTCGTCCTTGTACGAGAGCTATGTCAGCGCTACTCAAATAGCCACGTTTATGGTCTCCAACCTCCATCTGGTACAATATGTCAACAACATGCCTTTCGTAGGAAAGATAAAGGTCACAATTAACATCATTTCAGAAAAAACAAATAAACAACGATGACATCTTAACCATTAATGAATACGAACCTAATATATAGACGGATCTTTTGGACGACATGATTGTTGCACCAACGATCAGAAACTTGAGTTGAATCCAACAGTTTCTTCAATGTTAGAATGGGAAGGTGATGAAGGTCTTTCCGTGGCTTGGTTAGTAGCCACAATAAAGTCACTTCTTTGTGTACTAAATGCAAATGACTTGTCAGATCGTCCTAGGAGTGGACATTGTTGAACCGACTTTGGAATTCGAATCGAGAACTTTGGATCCGGCCAAATATCTCCAAGGATCATTGCCTTTTGTTTTGATTTTGATTTCATTTTGTTGATCACAAAGAGCCTTCAAATCATAGGTTCAAGACAAATTCGGAGATCACTTTTTAATCACTCCAAAAAGTACAAAAAAAAAGAAGGTAAAAGAAACCAATTTAAGAGAAGCAACGGGCTGCTTTCACTTGCTACTTGACATATTCTCTAATATTTCACCCATGGTAAACAATAGAGCACACAACTAAAACAATGAGTACCACGATACAAACTAACAACTAAGAAACCATAAAAGCAAGGACCAGAGGAAACAAACAAACAACGGACACTATGATAGAAAAGGTATGAAATTGTTCCGCGTAAGGGATAAACAGAAGGGAAACAACACAACAACAAGAAGAGAAATACCAAGAATGCCCAGAAATTACCTTTCTGTTTAGACAAATTCAAAAACCCAGATTGCACCATCAAAACCCAGAAACAAAAAACCCAGTAATTAAAAGAAAAACTTAATCATATCTTCAACATAACAGTACAGTTACACTACAGAATCTTGTTTAACCACAATAATCAACACAGTGCTTTACATGAGCATAAGAACAGACCAAAATTGAGAACCAACGAACATGAGAACAGATAGAATAGAAAAAAGAACAAATCAAAACAATGCTTTAGATGAGCATACGAAACAAAACTCAAAAAGATATTCAATGCTAAAAATGCATATAACCCAATAAACTTTTCCTAAAATACATACACACAGAGATATACGTACACACACATGTATACTATCTGATTACTTAGAACTTACTATTCCACAAAGCAGTAGATATCTTCTTCAAAGTCCAAATTATCCAATCAGGCAGTGATTACCTTAGCATTTGCAGGATAATCCCTCTCCATGATCAGGACTTAGATTACCCAGCAGCCAAAACAGCACCAATAGGCTGTGTGCCACCACCTCCCATCTATCCTACACATTCGATCAAGGTTGTCACTGCGAAGCTATAGTAAAGGTGGACGGGGTCTTACAGTCTACCCATAGGTACTCCACATCTTCACAGAGAATTCAATTTCACTGGGTCCATGTCAGAGACAGCGGGGCAGTTAGAGTTACCGCCGACGTTTACCGGGGCTTCCATTCAAAGCTTTTAACACTTCTACTTCCGACCTTCTAGCACCGGGCAGGTGTCAAACTATACATCGTCTTACCGCATAGCAGAGTCCTGTGTTTTTTAATAAGCAGTCACTACCCTCCGGTATGTGCCGCTTTCCTAATCAAAACATAGGAGAGCACCCCTACTCTAGAAGTTACGAGGCCATTTCACCGCACTCGTTCGACATGTTTCTCTCAAGCACCCTAGTGTACCCTACTTGTTCACCGGCGTCTGTTTGGGGTACGGCCAGTTCGCCCTCCCAATTCCAATTTTTTTCGTGGAAGTTCAACCTTCTTGACTATGACACTAGTCGCGACTATATAAAGACTCGCGACAATAGCGGGGCTGTACACTCTGCTCTCTCGTGACCCCTAGTCTAATCAAAAGACTAAAGGCCCCTTAGGACGCCAAACTACGATGAGAGTTTTGCCTTTTGAAACGCTGGTCGCATAAGGCGACCGGGCCAGGCCAAGTCAAAAACACTTTGATGACATAAGGTTCATAACCCAGTAATCAAAATACACAGATTATCCCATTCCGCCTGAAATGTCATTGTTGTATTACTTTACAAAGCTAATTTCTTCCAAAAGATTCAAAGCAAGTGGTTTCGACTTTAAAATCCCACAACATGATGTACACATTGAACAACCAGTTTCTCCAATTATACTCAATACCATTAATACAAACACGCCATGGTTCATCTTGCTGGGAACTAAACGGAAATTATACCAAAATCAGAAACAACACAATTATACACATTAGGCGATCTAATCGTTAAAGACCATGTAAATACCTAGACATCAACAAATAAAAAGTACATTAAAATTGAGGACTTACTTCAGCTCAAGGTTCACAGGATGCATTTAAGAGTAATAAAAGTGTTGTTGGATTGAGTTCCTTGTAATGATTATATCATCTCTGCACAAAGGAGTATGAGATGCATGTTAAAATTATCAGCCTAACTTAGATTTACAGTATCCGATATCTGTGTATATACATAGATAAATAGTTAAATACACACACACACACACAAAATAAAAGAATAAGGGAAGACAGAAAACTGAGAACTGTTTGCATACTAAGATGCATGTGAAATATAATTGATGAAAGAGATGCTCTTTTTCCTTTTCTTTTTACAAAGTGACTAATCTGATTAGAAAACTAATTTAAATCTTGAATTGATCTCATCAAACTTTGTATCCATTTTGGCCTCAATTCACATATGATTGAGGGCATGCAAACATCACTGTCTTAAATTTAAAAAACCATAATCAATGCAGTTCTTACTCAGAAATATGGAAAGTTCCAAATAACATTATACTTGAGAAACTTGTGTCCAAATTTCAGAGTTAATGTAACAATCTACGCCACTCAAACACTGAAGCTAAAAAGAACGGGAAAACATTCACCAAGTGGACTAAGTTTTACACACAAACCAAATACAAATTTGCATTTACACCATCACAACATGGTGTCACTCTGTAATTCTCATGCAAGTAATACGACACGCAGACATGACATTCTACATACTCATGCTATGTACTTATATGAAGAAGAACAAACACGGCTGAGTAAAAACAAATTCTTAATAAAAGAATTAGCCAATTCTAATTAACAAAAAGCTTGATAGTTCACATTCATGGATAAACTGTTAATAAAAAAGCCAGCCATGCAACTGTTAACAAAAAAGCATTCCATCTCGACAATAGATTTGATATGTACATACAAAAGATAGTTCGCATATAGCAAACGCATATCCAGTCTGTACCTACCTGAAGAAACTGAAACCAAAGTAAAGCAAATTATATACATCAAAATGTAAAGCAACAAAATTTGTTCCGCCAATGACCCCAAAATTCTGAACATAAAAAAAGGTATATTCATTAGCAATTCAGAGCCTTCGAAAATAGAAAAATACTGGAACAACAGTAAAGGAATTGGCAAATAATTGAATGTAACATAGGAGATATTAACTTTGTCCATATCCTCAATGGACAGAAGAGCGAAAACAGTTTTGAAAATTAAAGGATTTTGTAGATATCAGTAAATCAATACAAAAATATTACACTCACAGAAACAAGAAGAAAAATACCAAGAATACCCAAAAATTACCTATCTGTTTAAACAAATTCAAAAACCCAAATTGCACCATTAAAACCCAACAACAAAAAACCCAGTAATTAAAAGAAAATGTTAATTCTATCTCCAACAGAATCTTGTTTAACCACAATAATCTAAACACAATAATCAACACAGTGCTTTACAAGAGCATAAGAACAGACAAAGTTGAGAACCTACGAACACAACGAACAAATAGAATAGAAAAAAAAGAACAAATAAACAGTGCTTTACATGAGCATACGAAACAAAACTCAGAAAATACATATAACCCAATAAGCTTGTCCTAAAATATGTACACACACAGATATATATATATATATATATATATATATTTGTGTGTGTAGTGTATACACATATATTATCTGATTACTTAGCAGTTACAATTCCAAAGAGCAGTAGATATCTCCATCAAAGTCCAAATTATCCAATCAGGCGTGGTTACCTTAGCATTTGTAGGATAATTCCTCTCCTTGACCAGGATTTAGATTACCGAGCGGCCAATACAGCACCAATAGGCTACTGACATATGCGATAAACAGAAACAATACAAAAACATGAAGAAAAATAGCCAGAAATCACCTTTCAGTTAAACTCATTCAAAAAACATAGATTGTACCATCAAATACTCTTTAGGAGGCACCCACCCCAGTTTACAAAGTGACTAATGTTAGAAAACTAATTTAAATCTTTGAATTGATGTCATCAAACTTTGCATCAGTTTTAGTCTCAATTCACATGATTGCGGGCATGCAAACATTGTGGCCTTAAATTTAAAAAACCTTAAGCAATGCAGTGTGTACTCAGAAATATGGAAAGTTCCAAAGAACATTATATTTTAGAAACTTGTGTTCAAATTTCAGAGTTAATATAACAAAGTTGGCCTTGAAATACAATAAGCAATATGGAAAGTTTCCATATTGAAAGTTTTTTCAGAGTTAAAAAACCTTAAGCAATGCAGTGTGTACTCAGAAATATGGAAAGTTCCAAAGAACATTATATTTTAGAAACTTGTGTTCAAATTTCAGAGTTAATATAACAAAGTTGGCCTTGAAATACAATAATTTAAACCAGAAAAAAATATGTAACTAAAAAAAATTAAACATTGAAAAAATGGAGAAATATGCACGAACCTTGGAAACAAGAAAGCGGGCTTTATCTGGAAAACTTTTTGTTGAATTCCTCAACAATCTATGCTACTCAAACACTGAAGTTGAAAAGAATGGGAAAACAATCACCAACTGGACTAAGTTTTACACACAAACAAAATACAAAGTTGCATTTACACCATCGCAACATGCTCCCACTCCGTAATTCTTATGCAAATCATACGACACATAGACATGACATTCTACATGCTTACGCTATGTACTTATACGAAGACGAACTAAAATGGCAAGTAAAAACAAATTCTTAAAAAGAATTAGCCAATTCTAATTTACAAAAAGCTTGATAGTTCACATTCATGGATAAACTGTTAATAAAAACCCAGCCACGCAGCTATTAATAAAAAAGCTTAAGTTGTTGAGTATATAACCATCCATTTGGCATCACTGGAAGTTGAAATTGTCAGAAAATACAATAGATGAAGGCCACCTCTAGACAAAATCAAAAACCAATACCAAACCCATAAATATAATGGAAGAATTCACAAACTGAATAGGGGGAGACTGGCCTCCTAACTTATCAGAATTCACAGAATGGTCCACAACTGGATCACACATCAGAAGCTATAGAGGACCACAAAATTTTATTTGGAAACAATAGGACAAAAAAATTGGTAACTTGCTGAAAATTCCCTAAACTAAAACCTAGATCATTTTTCTTTGATCAGCGAAACTAAAGAAGCCAAAAATTTAATGAATAATTCTCCAAAACCAGAACCTTAAACGTAAAACTCTACAAATTCATGATAAATTTAGTAAAACCCAATTATATTAAATCACAAAATTGAAGCAAATTTTGCCATGCAGTAGATCTAGAAGGTACCTTAGATTATGGAGAATGGTTTGAGACCAACTGGACGTCGCTGGAATTGGCGGATTGACGTCGGAACCCAAACCAAGCTCGTAGGTTCCAGGGAGATGATGCCGTCTCCTGTTAAAAGAAAAAAAGAAAAAAAGAAAAGGGAAAAGAACGATTAAAGCAAAACGTTGAGAGAGAGATGAGAAGGGACCTTCGAAATTGAGGAAACGCCGAGGGATAAGAAGAAAAAAGGGAGTAAAATCAACTAACCAAAGAGATGAGAAACAGAAATACTTCCTCAAAAAGGAGGAATCCCCGCTTATAGAACAACAGGCATCCCCTCCAAATTATCAGCGAAGAAAAGTTTACTGTACTGCAATGGTGAGAGAACGAAACGATTTGACTGTCTGAAAACCTCTCGCTGGTTACACTTTCATGAGGAATCCTTTGCTCCGAGCTTACCCGTGCATTTATCAGATTTGAGATAGTGGCCTGGCTCTTGAGATAACTTGCAAAAAATAAGACAACAAAAAAAAGACTTGTTCCATGATTTGCCCTGTTGAAATCTTCAATATGCGCATTGTAGTCTGGGGTGACTTTCTCAGATTGGATTGCTTGTCCGCTCCCAGTGAATCTTAAGCAAAGTTCTGTGTGTGAGACCATAAATTTTTAAAGTACTTATAATGAATTTCGAAGTGTCTTCGATTTTTACAATTTATGATTCATTTTAAATGAGTTATAATTTTACATGAGAGCAATGATTATTTTGAGGTGATAGGTTGAAAGTAGGTGAGACCACGAGTTCGTAGCATTTTTCGAACTGGGAATTTAATTGATGAACTGTTTTTGTTTACATGCTCAGTGAATTGAACTCAACGTTTGAAGGTAAATTTTGAGGATTATTACTTAAATTTGAATAATTCGTTCAAATTGGGGTTTATGGCTAATTAGAGTCAAATTTTCAATTTCAAGCTTGTTCTTGCACGATTTGAGGGCTTTGAAGCCTATTTGATGATTGGAGAACGATTTCTGAAATATTAAGGTAAAGATTTACATATGATTAGATTGTTGTGATTGTACAAGTTTTATATCAATGAGATTTAGAGAATACTAGCAGGAATGCCCGCGCTCTGCCGCGGGATTTGAAACCGTCTCTACCATCAACCAAAATAATTCTATAATTTAAACCATCCAAACTTGTTTAACATAGTTTTTTGTCTATCATTATATATTTCCTCTCACAATTTTTATGGAATAAAAATCTAAACATTAAAAAATTTAAACAAAATTTTGCAAATAATCTTGCATTTAAGCACGTTCAAAACCAGTGGCTCTTTCAAATTTTTTCTAAACAAAGATAAGGAAAAGTGTTCATCACTGATATTGTGCATCCAATGCACTGGTTTCTTGTCCACCTTCTCCTCCAAACCCTTTCATCAATAACCCATCTCATTATGTCCCTCAGAGACTCGAAACTCAATTCCAACGGTCCATTTAACACCTCCTAATATCAATTCCTAACAAAGTAAATACAAACGCAAAATCAGTAATGCTTTCAAATATTTTAAAGGGAAAGTGGGAAAATATTATCAAGAAAGATGCAAACGAAGTATATTCATCACTGATATTGAAGAGAAAACGAAGTGTATTAGTATATTCATCTTTCCCCATTCCTTGTAAAGTTGAGGAATTTTTTCTTAACATCTGAACAAAAAGTAAAATAACGCTAACACACTCAATTACAGCACACATAAGCTCGTGAACAAATTATCATTTCCAAACTTCCATGAGAGTTTACTAATCATAAATCTATGTAGAAGTTGAAATTCAATCCAAAATAAACATCAGGCACATCATCAAAAAACCAGCAGCACAACTACCCTATTGAAAAATGTCTATTTCACAAAACATTTAATGAATATTTTACTTCAGAAATTTCTGCAAACCACAATTGAACACACCGATCTCTATATAATTCAGGAACCAATCAAAGCAGTTGAATACACATGGTAAAATAAATGTTTCAGTTTGATTTTGTATTCTATAAACTTTACATTAACGAAATACATTTAGGGATTAGTACTACAATGACATTGCTCCAACATCAATTACAAATCTTTTGAGAACAAATAAACAGAGTAGTGAGAGCTCGTACCCGAAGTGAGGCATATGATCACACCTCCTCAAGTGCCCAAGAGTAACTGAACGGCGGCACAGCCCCTACAAAATGTTTTTTAATCGATTCGGTAGTTAACACTGGCCAAATGCACAATACATATCTTAGAAACTATTGTCAGTTAACTTCTAAAGAAGTTAGAGCAAAAATTACCTCCAATCTTTGTTTCTCTTGTACTTTGGTATTGTGAGGAAGTCATGTAAGCCGAAGAATAAAAAGCCTTTTTTTAGTTAACTAAAAAGCACTTGTAAACGGAGTGAGATATCTAGTAACCAAAAAATGAATCTTGGAAAGCAGACATAAACAAACTTCAATCACAATTACTTTAATACATTTGGATATCGAGGAAAATTAGATTTATTCAATTTCGATATAAAGAAAATTAATTAATGCAGGTACAACATTTGTGCCTCAATGACGCGAGAAGTACTCAAAACAAACATTGTTTTCTTTTTGTCTTTAGGAAATCTCTGCAAATTGCAATGAGTTCTCTAACTCATATCCATTGAGAATCATATTAACTAATTAAACTTACTAACCCCTCCTGTTAGTTTCACACTTATGCTCCAAACAGATTTTGTAACTAATATCCCAAAAAAAGGGGTAAAAAAGGGAATAAAAAAACCTTTGTATGGTATACTGCAGTGTTATCTGTATAAGCGAAGTTAAGCCCTGAAAGGCCAGCAACCTCATTGTATACTTGGAAACCTCTTGCAGATTTTATGGCTCCAGAAGAAAATAGATCATGCAACATTAATATCATTAAGACTAAAGTATTTTTTTCCAAGTGAATACACATGAAAAGTATCAAAAAGAGAGAAAGGAGAAAAAATTAAATAAAAGAAACTGCACACCTGTCCTATAATTTGGCCAGATGAGCATTTTGCTACCGAGGAAAAATTCTCAGTAGCCCAAGCATCAGCCTATCAGATGAAGAAATATTCATAAGGGAAAAAGTAAGCTTAAACAGGATTTCATATATATGAACTCACTCTTTAATTACTCGTCCTATTACCAAATAGCTATTGGAAATGGTTTGAGTTATAAAACCTGACTCTATACAGGCCTGATTCTTATCAAATAGCTCTCGAAAATTTGATATGCAAAAACTGAAACAAAGAAATAGATCCCAATCTCATCCCACGACGAACAATGAACCAAAGTTACATGAACAAAAACAATGTCAACATTTCAAGCTGTGCAAAATTAAACCCATATGGGAAAGCACAAAGTCATACAAACAATCCTGTCTCATTCAAAATTCCAATACTCGATTCTAAAGAATAAAGGAAGCAATAGCACTCAAAATCAATCATTGTAAGGAATACCGAGGGCAATGGCATTGAAAATCAATAGTTCGCAAGTCTCCAACCAGCATAGCAAAATGCAAAGAGAGCAAAAATCTCCAACTCTCCAACCAACGTAACAAAATGTCAAAAATCAAAATGCCTTATGGCATTAGTACAACACAAAGTTCAAAATATTAGCAATAAATTTAAAAACGCCTTATCTAATATCATTGAGGGCATAAGTTGGAAGATAAGACAAAAAACGAAAAGGGGTTGATGCAGGCAGTATAAAAAGCATAAGAAAGGAAAGATACCCAAAATCCATCACAAATCATAGTGAGAATTTGTGTTATAGCAACCTTAAATTCAAAAAATTTCTCTAGTTTTCCATGTTTTCTCATCAAACAAACAACAAATTCATATAAAATCAAAAAAGTAAAATTACCAGCAGCAGCGTGCTCCGGGGCTCATATGACGGCGTTCCTCCACCAGCAACGACATCGAGATTGCTTTCTGAGGCAAGGATTACATAGGAAGTCCGTAAAATTCATGGACATCTGCAAGAAAACAAAACCATCGAAAGTCAGAGATTTCCAAAACCAAAAAGAAATGAGAGAGAGAGAGAGAGATTGGAGTACTGTAAGTGTATAAACATATTGGGAAAAAATTGCACGGCAATTACTACAATCTGAATAAAAATTCCACTGTTTATTACACAGTGCTTTGGAATTGTGTAAGTAGAGAAAGAATTGGAGTTCTTACAAAGTGTTGGCGAACTGAATATCAGCTTCGAGCACCTTGAGAGATTCATTGACGAACTTCGCTTAACATTTATCAAATGTCAGTAAATTCTGTAACGTACATGGAAAAATCCAGAAAATTAGAGATGAACAAAAATAAGTGAATCCGACGACCGTAATTTTGAAATATCATCTATTTGCTAATACGACCTTTTTCCATCAAAACAACATAAACCCCAAAGAAAAAATGGAAATTGGGAACGACCCATAATCTGAAAATTTGCAAAAATTAACAGAACCAGATGAAATATGAGAGAAAGAATTGGAGTTCTTACAAAGTGTTGATGAACTTTCAGAGAAAGAATTCGATTTTCCTGATCGTTTTTACTCTTTTCTCATCCCTCCCATAAAAAATCCTAAACACTCATCACTCCACCCACCTCAAATCCTCTCTCTCTGAATATAGAAAAAATATACAACCCTTTCTCTCTCTGTAATCTGAAGAAAAATGTGATCAAAATTTATAAAATTGGTTTTTGGTTTTGTAAAAGTGCGGACAGTTAGAAGGGAATTTGTAGAGAGAAGAAGGGTAACCTTTTCAGTAGATGGGAAGCAAAGCCATATATGTAACTCGATTCGTTCAGAACCAACGATCATCCACAAAACTTTGACTTACACAAAAACCGATTCAAAAAACCAAAACAGATACCCAAAATTATAACCAAACAATCAAAACCCACATTAAAAAAAATCATATAACAATGCTTTCACAGATAAATCTCTAAAAAAACCCCACAAACCCCCAAAAAAAAAATCATGCAAAAATCTCACCACAGGGTAAGTCTAAAAATGTCAATTTTCATGCCACGAAATTGTGATACATTACAATCTAAAATCACACATACACATATCATGCATACACATACATCGAGTAGCAAAGGTTTCACTGTAATTTACCAAATCATCCTAATAATTCAGCCTTCAATTTCATGCCCGAACAAAAGAGCGGAAATTAATCACCATGTTCTTTAACTGAAAATAAAAATTGGGGTAAGCCCAGTTCTCACTTCTAGCAGAGTTCACTCCATCTAAATGCTCATCCAACCAAAAAACAAGAAAAAAATTGAAATTTCAACTTCTTTGCTGCCTCCTATATTTTATTAGCATTCAAAAAGTCCTTAACTTGGAGCTTTAGAGCTTTGGAGCTAGGTTTTCAAAACGTGAGCTTGTGAGTGCAAGAGAGTGAGAGAAAGAGGGCATACCTGGCCATGGGAGAGAACGGAGCTATAGAAAGAGCTAAGCTCGGCTTCTCGCCGACTTGCAAAAATGTAAAAGCACAAACAGAAAGGAGAATCAAAGACAAAATTCCAAGATAAATTCCAAAAATTCAAAATTATACGCGAGAGAGAGACCTTGTTGATATTCGGAGTTAGACTCAGAGAGACGAAGCTCCGAGTTACAGAAATGGAGGCCAGGTTTGTGCGGTTTTGGTTTTCAGAAGCAGGAGCCGACGCTATTGCAGAGATCGGCTAGAGTTGGTGTTGTTGCTGCTAGGGTTTGAGAATGAAGGCCAAATGGGTGTGTTTCTGTCTCTCTCCCATCCCTCTCAATCTCTCAATCACCGACACCAACCCTTGATTTGAGGAGAAAAAATCAACCCTAACCCCCTTTTTTGGCAGCCTCACTCCTCCCTGTCCCTTTCCTTCCCTGCCATCCCACGCCTATACCCCTCTCCGTCTCTGCAACCCACGTCTCTCGAAAATGGCAGATATGTAAATAATGCAAGGGCCCATCTCACAACAAAACTGGCAAAACTGTAAATATCTTGAAAGCTGTTCAGAGACAATATTACCCTTCTAATTTTATATAATTACCCTCCAACTCAACCACATATACGATGGTAGTGGCGCAAATAAAGCAAAATCAAAGGGCAAAAATGTGACTGTAGCTAAGCTACAGTCAAATCCTTCCTCAATTTTAGAATAGATAATGATGTTTGATTCGAAATACATCGAATTTGGGCTTTAAAGGACGTTTGTATGGAGGAAATGAGTTGTACTATTGCCGGATTGTGTTTTGGCATGAAAATATATGTTAAAAGTCTGGGAAAACAGACCTGAAACCTGCTGGTTTCATACCAAGGACCAAATTGCGAAAAATAATTTTATTTTTGGGGCAATTTTGTGAATTACTGAAAGTGAAGGGTCCAAAGTGAAATTATCAAAAGTTTAGGGACCTATTTGAAATGTTAAAAAGTTTTAAGACATAATTATTATTTTGGTTGACTGAAGGTCCCTATTGGACATAGTTGTGGGGAATAAAATTTAGGTACTATTAGCAATAATTGTGAAATCTCATTCTTGTATTTCACTGTTATAATTTACGTATTTGTATTATTGAAATTGTATATTATTTTTCAAGAATTTATATTAATTTATTTGAATTTAGATTTTAATTAAACTATTTACGAAGTTTGAAGTTTGGAAATTAGTTATTTAAAATCCGATATTTTTAAACACTCAAAAGGAAAAGAAAAAAAATGAAGATGGTGACTAAAATATTCTTTTTTGAGTGTTTACAATCATAACTTCACCACCAACAAAGACGATATTTTTAAACTCATCTAGACAACCCAACACTATTCCTTCCTTTTCGAGTCGCACCAAAATATTTATTAGTTGGCTGAAAGGACAAAGATGTGCACATTCATTAATACAGTTAAAACATCTCTATTGGAGATGAATTTTTTCAAATCCTCTCCAAAAAAAATTCAAATCTTCCTAAAATAAGAATTTGCCTAGGAGCTCCTAAATCTAGAGAGTTAAAGCCCATATGACATTCATATAGAGAGAAAGAGAAGAATAGAAGAGTTTGGTTCTAATTATTTATAATGAAATAATAGAAAAGTCAAGTTCTGACTATTTATAATGACTTCAACCCACATAACATTCATGACCTATGCATAATTACTATGTCATTGATATATGACTAAGGAGTAAAAATTTTGTTGATTTTTTGGCTAAATTACCTTTTTAGCTATAAACACAATAAATAAATAAAAAGATTTAACCCTAGAATTTTCGAAAAGTACATAATATTTTATTTTAAGTTTCATGTTCTATTGCACTCTGAAGGAATAGCTATATAAGCATACTTCGGAGAAAGAGAGGTTTGAATTCCCTCTACACGCATCAGATGGTTATTTAACTATAACATATTCAACAAAATCACAATAAATAGCCTATTGGTAATTCCAGTTGCAAAGTAAATTATAAATAAATAAATAAATTTACTTTATCTCACTCAAGTGAAGCATTTTCTAACGTTGAACTTATATGTTCTCTTATATTTTTTTATGCTGTTAATGAATGTTATGATCAATTGGACAAATAAATAAAAATAGACAACAAGTCACTTAAATTTTTTTTTTAATATTAAATTTTAGATATTTTTATTAAAATACTAATTGGCAGCTTGAACTGTACTGACTATTTCAATTGGATAGTATAATATGTCATCGGACATTACTGACTAAATTAGTTGGGTGTTTACCAGATCAAAATATTGATTACTAAATACAATGTTTGAGATTGTGCCATATTAGTGATCATCAAACTGTAATGTTTCTTTATATAAAAATAAAATTAGTAATTGACAATAAGGGTTATGAATGATACAGTAATTTACATAACGTTAAGTTGTTCAAGAAACTTACCAAAACGGCTCTTTGATAGAATGATTTAACATGACTCGTTGATGACCATATTGGTTTGTGCTGTAACATTTTTCCGAAGCTTAAACGTTCAAGCTTGGTTGTCAATAGGCGAGGTTTAGGTTGTGCCTCTTGCTCGGACTCTACTGGTTGCTGTTGCTGTTGTAGCCGTGATAGTGCCCCTGAATAGCCACCATGATAAGCACCACCATACGATGATGAAGCGCTGTCTTGGCTACCACCATAGTAAGAATGGGGAAGCTCATATGCACTTGACTGTATAGGTAGTTGCGGATAGCCACCAGCATGTGATGAAAAATCACCAGAATGGGGAACCCAATAAGACTGATGTTGCACAGGATCGCCACTATATGGTGAAGAAGCGCAGTCTTGACTACCACCATAGTAAGAATGGAGAAGATATGGGGAACCCCATGAAACAAATGTTGTGAAAGACTGTAGTCTAAAATTTATAGGCTTGTATTTACTGTGAGTTTCACCGCTCACACATAATTACTGTGAGTTTACCATTTGACTTGTATTTTATATTTCTTTTGTGTCATGTTCTGTTCATTCAAAGTTTCAAAACCTCCATCCGATTAGCATGAAGGTAGTACATGTACTGTTCATGTATACAATAATGGTACTAAATTACAAAGAAAGATATTTTGGTACCATGTTCAGAAAGAAAAGAAGAAAAAAAAATAGGGAATCTTCCATCACAGAATTAATTAAGGGAACTTTAACGAAAAGCACCCGGTACTGTTCACTTTAACGAAAAACCACATTTTTACACTAAAAAGTCAATCCTGGTACTATTCACTTTACCCTTTATTTTGTCTTTATCATTAAAACTCAAAGTTTTCAAGCCCTTTTCATTAGTTTTCCTATTAATTAAAGGGTGTAAAATGAACCGATTTGATCTAAAATTTACATGATCTAATTGATTTCAGATCTTAAATTTAGAAGATCAATAGTGAAACGGCCTAGAGTGTTATATTATCATATCACCAATTTGAACAATGGATCATGTTTCATACTTGTTCTTATGTATTGTTTTTATTTATCACATTATTTTATAGGGAGTGCATTTCCACCGAAGATGGATTCCCTTCTAGATTCCAGAGGTCTGCTGGACCAATTCCTTTTTAAATGCTGGGTTTGGAAGCTATATGACTGGAAGATTGAATGATTTTGGCTTTGAGGATTACCTGACCCCCCGGGAATCTGAAACCTTCTGGCCTGTGGACACATCATGCAATGGAAGTTCGCCTTGGGCTTTCAAAGGGTCCAGTCTCCCCAAGCTTTATGTGATCCTCGTTGACTTCCTTCCCTAAAGAAGAGGATTAGTAACCTTGTCAAAGTTATTCTTAAAATGTGATTATCTATCGCACTGTGAGTTGAAAGGTCCAGGCATTGATATTGTGGTATTGGCTTTCTTCCAACCAATGACAGTTCCTCTATTTGGCACTTTAAAAAAAATGCAAGTAACAAGAACCCAATTAATGTAAAAGTCAATTAAGTACAGCAAAGAGAGATGGGATTTGGGCTTTTCATTTGTTCATCGAAACGTTAATAAATTATTAAACTCTGCACTGGCAGGTGCCATTCATGGCTGATACGTGTATATGAGACTGAAATTTCAAATGTCCGGATCACTTGATTCGGTGGCCTTGATGCTTCTCTTGTTCCACATCCCTCTCCCTCAATGTTCTTTTCAATAACAATATAATATAAACAAAATAAGAAAAATAAAAAAAAACTAAATTCTTTTAACTAAGCTTCTTTAGATGTACTTCTTGAATTTGAAGTTGAAGTTGAATTTTGGAAGCAATAACTAATATTTATCTTCGATTTAAGTATTGTTGGTTGTCAATGATTGGTACTCCGAGCCCCGAGTCAATCTTCTTCTTTCCTTACCATGCATGCGTAATTATATATGTGCCAATCAATTATTAACAAATACTCGCTCTCTAGTTGTTAATACTATCGAGACCAAATTTTTACCAAATTTTGTAAATAAAATGATGTTGATAATTGAATTATTACTTAAACTTTAATTATTGTGTTTATAATTTGATTTGCAAATTTGGTTTTCTTTAGCATTATCCTCTATTAATTAGAAGGGCACACATGCATGCATGAACTCCAATTTATAAAAATAGTCAGTATTCAGTTTCATAAATAGTCAGTCAATTTAATAATAGTGTAGTACATGTGTCAGTTTAATAAATAGTGTAGTACCCGTGTCAGTTTCATAAATAGTGAGATTA